ATATGGATTGTATTTTATTTGAATAGTTCCCCAGGTAGCACAGTAAAGTACGTGATTAAATGAGTCAACTTGCAGGTCAACTTTTCTGCAAGTTTTCTTCCATTGCAGCCTTAACATCCACATTTAATTTTATTGCCTTATTTAACACAATCACCTGCTTTCAGCCCAAAATAAATAAAAAGAAACATTGCCATTGAAAAACCAGTTAGCTAAACCTTCTTTGCTTTGCCTAACCTTGCGTCATGTCTATTGTTTCATTATAGTTTATTTACGGGGATGCTGCCAGTGTCTAAGATGTAACACATTCAGAAAATTGTTCAGATTATGGATTCACAGTACCTAGAATTCCTGTGACTCAGGTTTCCACAAATGTGCTATTCAGGGAATTGCTCGCAGATCAGCAACTGTGCACTTTCGCTGGCAGCACAAACACTGCTGATGTGCACAATTCCAAATTGCAAGCAGTTGCCCCAGTGAAAACAATGAGAACAGAATCCCAGCATTAAGCAGTTGGCAGGGAATTTTAGAGATAACTTAATCTGCCTCTTTGTTTTGGACACAATCCTGCTTTAAACTATTTTGAATAGATAAAAATCCATGCTATTTTATTTTTTTATTTTTGTTTTTTATTTATATATTGAAACGTAATCAATTGTACATATCCTAGGGCTACAGTGTTGAATATCAATACATGTGCATGCTATTTTAATGGGTCTTCATCAGTAGCTGTCTTTGAATATCTCCCCCCTCTAAATTAGGAAGTAATTCCTTCTGTCTGGAGCAGACAGTATGGTTGCTAGCCTAGTGCCTTTGCCCACTTTCTCCTGTCTGGTGAAGAGCCAATTTGGAGGGATTGCCCATCCCTTCCCTATGTCTCAGGATTAAATTCTGATCTGTCACAGCTTGCCAGTGATTGGTTTGGAGGGGGCAGGTGACCCAGTTCTATGCAATAAAATGTGATGAGAGATCAGGTAGAGGGAGCTTTTAGGAAAGATTTCCTTGCTCCTGAGAGAAGACTTATAGGAAAAGCAGTCCTTATTTTTGGCTGGGCATGATACTTGGAGCTATGGCAGCTTCCTTGCACCCATGAAGGGAACCAGCCAAGGACAAGGCCATCATAGTGATAACAGCAGAGCAGAGATATGGAAACAATCTGGGTCTTTAATAATATTATTGAGCTGCTGAATCAACCAACCCAAAGCCACCCTACCCCAGAATTTCTTGTGATGTGAGATAGTAAAATTTCCTTATTGTTTATAGATTGGTGACTATAAAATGGAGGATTTTTTTGGTCCAGAATTTTGCTGCAGACTGGCATTCAAATCTCCATATCCAGATAATGAAACAATATTTCATGTGCAAGTATTTAGAGAAAGAAAGAGTAAACAGTAGGATCTACTTTGGATTTACTAAGACCAAGTGTGCCAAGCTAAACATTTCTCTTTTGATAAGATTAGTAGATTACATGTCAGCGAAAGTCATGGACATCAAATATTGGATTTCAGCAATCATCTGATAAATTGCTCATAATATTTTGGACAACAAGATGGGAAACTATTGAAGAGAAGATGTAGTATGAAGAAAGACAAGATGCTGGAGGAAGACAAGACTGGCTGACAGGTCATGGCATTTTAAAGGTACTGTGACAGCCTTAAAAAGAAAGGAAGTTCAGGGCTGGCCAGTTACTTCAGTTGGTTAGAGTGTGGTGTTATAACACCAAGGTCAAGGGTTTGGATCCCAGTACCAGCCAGCTACCAAAATAATCTCTGTCATTTGTGCCAACATGGATGGAACTGGAGAAGATTATGCTAAGTGAAATAAACCGGGCACAGAAAGACAAATACTGCATGTTCTCACTTATATGTGGAATCTAAAATAATCAAACTTATAGACACTGAAAGTAGAATGGTGGTTACCAGAAGCTGAGGGTTGAGGGATGGGACAAAGAGCACAAAGCTTCAGTTAGATAGGAGGAATGGTTTTTGATTTTTTGAAATCTATGGCACAGCGTGGTGAATATAGTTAATAATAGTGTATCGTACATTTCAAAATTGCGAACAGTAAATTTCAAATGTTCTCACCCCCCAAATTGATAAATAGTTGAGGTAATGGATATGTTAATTAGCTTGATCTAATTATCCCACATTGTATTTATAAATCATAACGTCACTTTGTACCCTGCAGGGATAAAGAAGGGATGATCCCTTTCCTCCCCATCATGAGGATGACGGCCAACACTCCTATCACAAAAGATAGGTTAATTAGAAAAAACATAACAAATTTGTTTAATCATAGTTTTAAGTGACACGAGAGCCTTCAGAATGAAGACCCCAAGATACAGGGAAAACTATTTTATGTGCTTAGGTTTGATAAAGAATTGACAGCCATGCAGAACTGTGATTGGACAAGAAGTTTATGATTGATGGGGATAGACTAAGTGGGAAACCCAGCCAGGCCTGTCTGTTCAGACACTTCTTGGCCTCTCTGTGCAGCGTTCCTTCCTCCTGGGTATGGGGCAGGACTCTTCTGGAATGGGGACCCTATGACCTACTCTCACAAACAAGGTAGGTCAGAGAATTTCCTTATGGCCAGCTCTTACATGGAAAGGCAAGGGGAAGGTTAGTCATATTTTTGGCGTTTTATGGCTGGCTTCAGGGGAGAGGGGGTTCTGGTTTCTGTGACCCTCTTTGGGGAAGAGGGATTATATTTTCTATGCCTTGCCTCAGGGAGGAATGAGGAGCAGACACAGGGGGGCAAGAGAGCACAGAGAAACTTTGCTTCTGAGGGTGCTCCTGAAGCCTTCTCTTTCAGGCATCGTTTTCTGAGCCCCAACAACCCCATAAACCTATTCTAATATAATTTGTCAATTTGTAATAAAAAAAAATAAAAAATACTGTGACAGCTAAATAAATGATGGTACAGGCAAGCAAACAGGACAGAGTGGGTTGGCAAGTGTCTGTTACAAACGGTGGGGCACACTGAAAAATGGACAGTGTACTGAGAATCAGGTGCAAATGATTAGAGACCTAGAGAGACCTAGGCAGGCAAGAGCTGGCACCACAGAAAGGTTGCAGGCTTCTGATTTTTGTATTGGGGTGTCGGGGGGAGAATTCCAGTATGGGGATCTATGGGAAGTAGATGAAAAAGACCCCAAGTTTAAATGTTTTTTTTTAAAAATGGAAGGTGCTCCAAAGTGTTTCATCCCACCAAACCCAAGGCTGGAATTACCCCAAAAGCAGTGGCAAAGGAGTCCCTACCAGGGAGTGTCACAAACTGTCCTGATATGGGGCCAGTTGGGATTCCAAAGAAAGATGCATTAAACGCCAGGATGATCAGTCCAAAAAATTTCTTAGGGGAACTTAGGGACAAGTGCTGCAGTATATTGTCACAGTGGACAATGACAGAAAAGGGATGTTCTGCCAGGGTATGCCTGCAGCAAGGGGGTCAGTGTATGGAGTTTATATGAGGGTTGAAGGAATTTGGCTCAGGATGGGGCCAGTTTCAGTGTTTCGGCAACAATCCAGATACCTTTATTAGAGTCTGGGAATGTTCAAGGCCCTGGTTTTGTTTCAAGCGTGCAGGGAGGGCCTGCAGCTGGCTGGGTCACTGAGGGGTCGAGGTACTCTGTGACTTTCAGTCAGGACACAGAAAGAAAATGGGGGGCCCTGGAAGACTCCACGAAAAGGATAGTAAGGCTAAAAAGCAGTTGATTAAGATGGTAATTTAAGAACGAATTACATGGCAGAAAGTCAGTCAGCTTTTGTTGTTTTTTACTTTATTTTTTGTTCTTGGCAGCTGGCTGATCCCAAGGTACCGAGATAGAACCCTGGACCTTGGTGTTATCAGCACCACTCTCTAACCAACTGAGCTAACCTGCCAGCTCTCAGTTGTCAGCTTCTGGACAAAGGCCAGTACTGTACTAGAAGGAATCATGACCCAAGCTGAGTTCTAGAGTTTTGGTCTGGAGAACTTCAAATTCCCAGTCTTATTCCTAGTTGTATGGGAAGGCCAAGCCCATAGATGGAAATCAAGTGACCTCGGCTATAGGGAGAAGGGATATAAAGGCAAGGAATCAGAAAGTGCGTTTCCCGGACACTGCTCGTTAATCAATGGGTCCATATCAACTTGGTGGAAAATTTCATAATTATTTGTCTGAGAGCTTTGTCCATGACCCTGACCTTTTCAAATATTTTCATTATGAATTTGAATGAAAACAAAGATATGAAAATCAAATTTGTGAACCACACAAAGTTGGGAAAAACTACTAATATGTTAGACTCAATCATCAAAAAGCTGAATGTAGTTAAACCTGCATATGGTTAGCAGCTCCTAATGTGTTTTTTTCCAACTTCACAATAAAATACATAAGAAGACCAAAAAAAAAAAAAAAAATCTTGAAAACTCACAATACCATATACTGAGACCATGTACAAGGACTGGTCTATTGTGAGAACCTCAGAGCAATTTCTATGAATGTCAAGGCCAAGAGAAAGTAATTGTAGAGAGGTAAGCCGTAGATCCCCTGTGCTTATGTGGGAAGCCTACCTGCTTGAAAGAATTTGTTTCTCCTCCGTTTTCTGCCTCTGGATCAGAAGCCCAAGGTCATTCCAACCAGAAACAGAGACCACTGTAGGTCTTTTCCTTTATGTGGGGGCGGGGGGTGGGGGTTGGTTAGAGATCTAATTTTTATTCTCTAAGGTAAGCCAATTTTCTCCACACCATTTACTAATTTATCTTTTCTCCGCTAAGATTTGGTGCCACCTCTTTTATAAATCAGATCATGGGGTCTGTTTGTGGACTCTATTGTGTTCTGTTGTTTTATTGTCTGTTACTGTGCCATTACCAAGTTGGCAGTGGTGGGCTTTTGGTTTTGTTTTGTTTTTTCTGGGGGCTGGCCGGTAAAGGGATCTGAACCTTGACCTTGATCCGCACTATGCTCTCCCAAGTGAGTTAACCGGCCAGCCTCGGCGGTGGTGTTTTGTTTTTGTTTTTTTGGTGACTGGCCAGTACAGGGATCAAACCCTGAGACCTCGGTGTTATCAGCACCGCACTCTAACCAACTGAGCTAACCGGCCAATGGAGTTTTAATTACCTTGGTTTTGTTATATGTCTTGATATATAGTAGTGGAATTTCTCTTCCCACTCCTTTGTTCTTTTTTTTCTGAAAGTTGAACCTTCTTTTTTTTTTTTCCCCATGTAAATTGAGCAAATACCCATCTACCCCCAAATCTTATTGGGATTTTGGTGGAAATTGTATTAAAATCATATATTAGTTTTGAGAGAATTAGAATCTTTACAATGGTAAGGTATTCCACATGAGCATGTCTTCTGTCTCCGCTTATTCTTTAAGTGCTTCAGGACCATGCTACTCAAAGTATGGTCCACGGACCTGCTGCATTCCTTGGGAGGTTTTGAAATGTAGACTGATAGGCCCTGCCCTGCCCAGAACTACTGAATCAGAATCTGCTTTTTAAATAAAATCCCCAGATGATTTGTATATACATTAAAGTTGGGAAAATAGTTATAACACCAAGGTCAAGAGTTCGTGTCCCCTTAACAGCCAACTGCAAAAAAAAAAAAAAGGAAAAATATTACTTTAGTAGAATTTAAAAGATTTCTCCAAGAGATTTTGTGCATTTTTGTTAATTCCTGGGTTAACAGAGTTCAGAAAGGTATCCAGATCTTTGCTGAACTCTATTTACAATTCTAAATTGTTTTTCTGTGGAGTCTCTTGTGAGTTTTTTGTGAATATTTATATCGTCTGTAAAGGACAATAAGTCTCTTGACTCTCTGCCTTCTGATCGTTAACACTTCTTTCTCTTGATTTATTTTATTGATCAAAACGTTCAATATCATATGAAAAGTAAGGATGATTTAAAAGTTAAAAAGTTAAAGCAAATGCTTTTAATAATTCTCCAACAAATATGAAATGTGCTGATGATTTTTAGCAGGTCAAGGAACTTTTTCTCTATTTGCTTTTTTCTAAACACCTTTTTCAAAAGTTGACAACTGATTCAAACATTATTTTCTGCACATATAAGAGAAAACCTTGTGTTTTTGTCCTTTAGTTCATCAAAGTGGTAAATTACATTGCTATAATTTCTGACTCTGAACCATCCTTACATTCCCAGAATAAATAACGTACTGTTCTAATTCTCCCTTCAATGCTCTCTTCTTTATTAGATAATGTAGAATACAGCATGTAGCTTTTTATATTAATTAAATTATGAGAGTAAAAGTGCAACTGAGCTTAATTTTGCTGAGAAAGTGATTTGTTCTCATTCTCTCCCTCTTTAATCAGAAGAACATAGACCAAGACAGAAACACAGAACTTCTCAGAAAGATAAATTGCTCTCATTAGTGACCCTCATAAATACTTGGAATAAAAGAAAGAGTGCGATTGTTGCTTTTTTCCCATGGTTTTTTGGTTCAATAACCTAGATAAATTTTGAAACCGATCTATACAGACGAATGTCCTCAGCCATCCCTCATGTACAGTGACTTCCATGATATGACACAGCAGTTACCTCGTGGTCAAGCTCCCCCTTTGCTCTTCATATCAGAAGATGGAGCTCTTAACTTTACTTGCCATTCCTGTATAGGGGTGACAGGGAAAACCCAGGCACAACCATTTAATAATCCTACGGCTATATGACCTTTTCTCTGCAGCCAAATATTCTGATTAGTAAAGCCTAATGTGGTTTACAGTTATGCATGGAGTAGACAGAAGCCGTGACTCCAAAAGACACCCCATTGCTGATATGTGACATGCCGGACCAGGATGGTCTGTTTTTGTGATCAAAGCAGCTGAGCAGGGCCCTTGACAGTCTGGCATCCATGGGTTCCTTTCTGTTGACTGGATATGACAGCGTTGCTTCCTGACTCCCAGTGTTCATGTCTGCTTTGTGTAGTGGTTCTTAATCTTGCAAGAATACACTGAAAGCTCTTTGCAGAAAAATGAAAAAAAAAGGAGAGGCATGCTATTTCCAAAAGGTCATAGACTTTCCAAAGCCATGGTCTGAGCATGTCTGCTTTGTGTAGTGGTTCTTAATCTTGCAAGAATACACTGAAAGCTCTTTGCAGAAAAATGAAAAAAAAAGGAGAGGCATGCTATTTCCAAAAGGTCATAGACTTTCCAAAGCCATGGTCTGAGTAGGGGGTCTGTGGACTGTAAGTTAAAACCCCTGAGAGTAGGGGGTCTGTGGACTGTAAGTTAAAACCCCTGAGACAAAGTCAGAACAGAAAAAAGGCTGGAAGCACCACAGTGCGGTTGACTTTCAGTATCAGTAGAGCCACTATTTGCTTTCTGTACAGTTCTAGTTTGTTTTTTTTTTTTTTTAAAGATGACCGGTAAGGGGACCTTAACCCTTGGCTTGGTGTAGTCAGCACCACGCTCTCCAAGTGAGCTAACCGGCCATCCCTGTATAGGATCCAAACCCGTGGCCTTGGTGTTATCAGCACCATGCTCTCCCGAGTGAGCCACGGGCCGGCCTTACAGTTCTAGATTTTAGGGGAATAATTGAAGTAACAGCTGAATTTTGTGGATTTTGTGTTTGTGATGTGGCAGAAAGGAAAGAGTAGAGGAGCTGTTCAGATCTTATCAGACCTTCACTTCTTTTGAGGAATTGTACCAATAGCCCCAAATATCCATAACCTTCTGCAGATTAATTTCTATACAAGTTTCCAGAGAATAGTCATCATAGAGTACTCCTGGAAGATTGGACAAGGACCATGAATGACAATCGGAGCCTTCCCAGAACTAAGTATTGATCCTAACACCAGTTACCTGGTTATTTGTTACATCCTATGTTATGGCCATATTTATTCATTTACTCACTCATACGTTCATTCATTTATTGATATCACCATAAAGACTACTGGGCCTATTAATGGTGAATTCTCATCTTTTCCTTTGCCAGAGTGTACAATGACCAATATATTTTTGGGGAGTAAAGATAAACTGAAGAGAAAGAAATATTATTTTTATTTGACTGCCAAGGCATAATTCTTCATTCAGATAAGTAGACAAGTGCGGTAGCAGAGCAGATCGTGAAAGAAAAGCAGGAAGACAGGTCTGCAATTCATCTTTTATGTCTGACAGGTTGTGGTGGGAAGAATAAAATAACAGTGATGTGGTGATTTTATACCTAATCCTAATCTTAGATTTTAGGCATTGAACACTTGTATAAATTTTAAATGAAGCCAAAAACAAACAAAGGGATAAAAGGGCACATTGTTATATTTTCGGAGAAATAATAGAAGTTCCCAAACACATGCCTTCAATTAGATTTTAATAAATCGAGTTATGCTTTAATCAACTCCATTTGTTGTTTCAAAGATATGAAATAATTAAAACTATTGAATGGAACATCCTACTATTTATAACATAATGATTTATACTTCTAACTAACTTCAAAACTTGTGGTTATTTTAGTATGGCCCCAAAGAATTTTCCTGCGTGGGATCTAGTGTAAAAGCACTGCTAGTTTATTACAGAGTAGAAAATCCCGCCAAGGTACAAATCTGATCCTTGCTTTGACTTAGCTTGTTTTACTTATTTGTTTTTTAAATTAAAACTACATACAATTTTTGAATTGACTTTTTTTTTTTTTTTTTTACTTTGGAAAACTATTAGTAATGACTTTTTCAGGACCAAAAATGTGAAGAAATTTGGGAAAGAAATGGCCTTTTTCTCATCTCTGGAATCTTCAAGAATATAAAACTGAGATATTATAGACTCAATTAAGTTATTAATCGTTATTAATTGCTAAAATATAACACTGTTTCGGTTGAGTTTCTGCAAACATGGAAAGTACTGACAAAAATAGTCTTATGTAAGAAAAAATAAAGGGCAGATTAGAAATAATTTACACTACACATTTTTCTCTTAAACCAGCATTGTCTAATAGGCTATTGAGCACTTGAAGTGTAGTGTTAAGGAAGAAAAATTCCCCTCCACCCTCTTTTATTCAGTACCCAGGGCCTATGAATTAAACTAACAAAAGACAGATTAATAGGAGAAAAGGCATACAATTTTGATTAATATTTACATGCATGGGAGTTCACAGAAAAGGGAAATTCAAAGAAGCAGTTAGGTTTGGGGGTTTATATCCACGGGTTTGGATCCTATATAGGGATGGCCGGTTAGCTCACTTGGAGAGCGTGGTGCTGACAACACCAAGCCAAGGGTTAAGATCCCCTTACCGGTCATCTTTAAAAAAAACAAACAAACTAGAACTGTACAGAAAGCAAATAGTGGCTCTACTGATACACATTTTAATAAAGAAAAGAGAGCTTGAGTTTCAAGGGACAATAAATCATGTGGAAGTGACTAGGAAATACAGTTGTCTCTAGATATCCCTGGGGATTGGTTCCAGGATCTCCCTTGGATACCCAAATGGCATAATATTTGCATGCAACCTTTGCACATCCTCTACATACTTTAAATCATCTCTAGGTTGATATAAAATGGCATAGTATTTGCATGTATCCTGTGCACATCCTCCCACGTACTTTAAATCATCTCTAGGTTACTTATAATACCTAATACAATGTAAATCCTATGTGAATAGTTATTATACTGTATTGTTTAGAGAATAGTGACAAGAAGAAAAATCCAGACAAGTTCAGTACAGATGCATTTTTTTTTAATACTTTCAACCTGCAGTTGATTGAAGCCACAAATGCAGAACCCAAAGGTATGGAGGGCTGATTGTAGAGGGGGGAACTAATGAAAGGTAAGGGTTATTTTAATAAGGTCTGTTTATGCAAACTAATCTCAGTGTCCCAGTGGTAAGAGTCATTCTTCCCTTCCTGGAATGGGGAGTGGTGGGGAACAGGGATCTTCACAAAGGGAAATTTATGGTCTGTTTTTATGCAGATAAGGGGAGGGCAGAGAACTCTTCCTGCATCTGTTGATGATCAGCTGCCTCCAGCTCAAAATAATTCTTATGCCAATGTGGCATATTTTGGGGTGGCATATCCTGATCCCCTTCCATAGCAAGTCCAAATTGAGATGTGTTGTTAGTGTAAAAGATACATAAAATTTTGAAGACTCAGTATAATGCAAAAAGAA